TAGGATATCATGTCCGCATCTTGTACAGCAGTTAACCACTAGGAAGAATGTATGCAATGTGTTAATTATTGAAACTGTCCTACCAATTTGGTTTGAAACTCTCATTGCTATTTGTTTCTCAATAAAATTATGGGAGAAAATGTGCAGAAATTTATGTAAGAAACAAACCAAGGAAGAAGACATAGGAGTGGAGGTGAGGGGCTCAGAGAGAAGTATAGGACCTTACCTAGGGGAGTGCTTTACAGTCTTACTAAATGTGGATTTAGTTTTGCTGAGTGTGCTGGGAAGTCACAGAAAGGTTCTGGGTAGCTGTTATGGCTTATATCTGGATGTCTCTTTAGTGCCTCACACACTGATAGGTGGGGCTCTTCAGAGGTGGCTAGATCCAGGGCACATAGATGTTGATTAAGGGGTGTGGTAGTAAATTAGTCCACTGATTTGGTTTAGCATAGTTTTAGACATGGATAAAGGGAGGACCCAAACTGTGTGATGTAGCCTGGATGGTAAATAGAGAGGCTTTGCCCTTGCTATGCTGCTGCTGTTTGCTGCTTTGCTTACTGTTTTTCTGTCTCTTGCTTGCCATGGACTGTTTTTCCTCTGTCTTTCTCCTCTGTGATGCTGCTCTGCCTTAGAGCCAGTCAACCATGGATTGAAACCTCTACAGTTATGAGCCAAAACAAACCTTTTGTCCTTTAACACAGTGGATATTGGGTATTTTGTCTCAGCAGTGAGAAAAGTAACTGTGACATCAGTGATTGCTAGAATTTGTTTTTTGAGCTAACTGTGGTTGCTGTGTGGCATAGATAGTGGTAGAAGCAAAGAGAGTATTGCAGTAGCTTAGACAAAAGATAAATGATGACAGTGGAAGTGGTGAAAAATAGGCAAAAGGATTGTGTAAAGGGGAAGAAGAGATGAAACAGAATATAACTTAGATTTTTTGGTTTGGACAGCCCATCTGCAAGTCCTATTAAATTACCAGCTTCCTTTCATATGTAGACTATGGAATTGTGATATGTTTACCTTGTGTAGTAAAGTATCCTGCCTCTACTGTCTTGCCTTGTCCCTCCCCCTCCTTTTCCATCTAAACATCAGCCAGACTGGTGGCTCTTGATTCCCAGAACTACAAGTTCTTCATTGCCTTATCTAATGTAAGCATTCCTCAACTTTTATCCTTCCAAAAGCATTACCCCCTCAGAGATCTCCCACCCCTATCCCAACTATTATGAAAGTCCAAATTTTCCTCTATAGCATCTATGACAACTTGCAACTAATTAGAAATACAAATACTGATTTTCTGTTTCTGTCAGTGTATTTTAAGTTTGGTGGGGGTGGAGGGATTCTTTTTCTGCTGCTGCTTTATCTGGAGCCTAGCCCAGCACCTGGCACATAGTAGGTGTTGCATTACCTCTCTAAGGAAGTGGACACAGGAAACCCAATGGTGAAGTCACCTTAGGAACTAAGTTCTGTCCAGTGTTCAAGGGAACAGTGAACTTGGATGTTCCTTTTTTTAAGTGTCAGAACAATCGTTTATTTTAAAAATTAATATTACATTTGAGTGTTTGGAAATTTTCAGTTATTTAAAATTGAGCTTTATAAGTGCCGCAAGGATAAGAAACATTTTCTTTTTACTAAAGTGTTTATTAACTGTTTTAATCACCTCATCATCAATGGGACACAATACTCAACACCCACAATGTAAAGGAGGAGAGATTTAATTTGGTTAATAGTTTGTAGAGGTTTCAACGCAAAGTCAGCTGGCTCCAAGGCGGGGTGACATGGCAGAGGGGCACTGTAGAGGAGAGCAGCTCATGGCATGGCCACAGGGAAGCAGGTTAAAGAAGTGAGGGGGAGAGAGAAACCCTTCCAAGCCACACACTCAGCCTTTTCAGCCAGATCCCCCCTCTTAACAGCGAGTCAACTATCATACCCTCATAATCCAGTCACTTCCCAAACCCCACCTATGATCACATGATCATATGATCACATGGTGCTTTGGGGAATATTTAATTCTAAAATATAACACTAACATTAGCATATTCTTTTTCTCAAGGTTAATCTGAAGCGACCATGTCCTTTCTGGGCAGAAGATGGCCATTGTTCCATAAAAGACTGCCATGTGGAGCCCTGCCCAGAGGTATGATAAACTGAGGGAAAAGCTTACTTTCTCTTGGGACTTGTAAATAAGCACATCCTCTATATTTTAGGCTAATGTCAATGAGTTTGGACTTTGTCTTAGTTACTCTTTTCTGGTTGCTGGGACAAATACCCAAAACCCAAAATGAAGGAAGGAAAGGTTTTATGTAGCTCACAGTTACTGGAGGTTTCAGTACATATTCAGCTGGCTCCAAGGCAGGGCAGCACATAGCAGAGAGCAAGAGCACAAGGGGGAGGTAGCAGCAGCTGAAGCTGCTATCTTCTCTTCCCACCTTACATTGTAACGCAAATACCATGCCCCAGGGCAGGTGCAGTGTCCACACCCACAGTAATCAATCACAAACTCCAGAAGCTGCCCCAAGACTGCATGAGGCTTTGGGGTTACACCTAGAAACAAACCATAACAGACTTGTTTGGCAAATTCATATACTCGTTGCCTTCTTCATAGATCAGTGGCTTATTCTATATTTGTCACCAAAATGGGTTTAGAGATACTTTTCTATACCATGGTATAGGTGATTAGATGTAGTATAGTCCAGTTGTATGATGGAAGGAAGATCAGAGGCCTGTTCTAGATTGGGTCTGCAATTGGCTTTTATTTCATGCTGTATGGAATCTGTATCCCATTTCATAGGTTTAAAAAACTCAAAACAAGGGCCAGGGAGATGGCTCAATAGAATAAGCGCTTGCCTGGCAAGCTCAAGGGCCTGAGTTCAATCCCCGGTTCTTCAAAAAAAAAAAAAAAAACTTCAAAACACACAAAAATCAAAAACAAACCTGGACCCTGACCTTCAAATTTAGAATGGAAATTTCATTGGCTAAAGGGAAAATTTACAGGCTCAAAGTTGAGTTTTAATTTTTTTTAAAGGGTGTGCTATACTTATTATCAAGAGCATGTTATATTTTAAACTTTTAAAATAATTTGTATGGGTGCTGGGAATTGAACCAGGAAATTAATATTAATATATTCACTAATAGCTATATAGCTCTTAATCATAGTGCCAATGACTTTGATATTCTTGTGCATCGTAAAGGGGGGAGGGTTTTGGCTTAGAATCCAATCAATTATAGTTTACATTTGGTTGCCATGTCTACCTTTTCTCTTTTCCTCTAGGACTGGTCCTTAGTATTCTCTTTTTCTTGTCTCCTACAATAAAGGAGATCAAACCAAGGGACTTGTACATTTATTTATTTAGTTATGAGAATACAAAATAGTAAAAAAAAAAAAAGACATGATACAGACTTTCCTTAAACAAAATAATAGGAATTAATGGTTATATTACGTAATGTTTTCAAATTAGTTGTTTAGATTACCAAATATAAACATACAAAATTGGTTTTAAAAGAAGAAAAAAGAAGAAATTGAAGGGGATGAGAAAAAAATTAAAAATTAACTGCTTCTTTCAGTAGACCAGAAGAAATCATGTGTAGTATCACTGAGCTACACCTGCATTCCCCCTTGGCCCATTTTTAAACTGAGTTGATCCTTGCTGCTGAATTTAAGAGTTCATTATTTGGCTTTGATACATTACTATTTTTTTAAGGGAGTGGAAAAAGCACATGTGTTTGAACCTAGAGAATTGCTGAGTCACATACCCAGTCTTTTAATTTTTTCAATTTTTATATTTTGTATTTGGTATAAGGTCTCACTATGCAGCTTGGACTGTAGTGATCTTCCTGTCGCAGGCTCCCCAGTGCTGGGATTACGGCATGGGCCCCATTTTGGGAGCCCACATGGCACACCCAGGGTTCTGAGGCTGGCACAGCATGCAGTACAGGGGATCAAACTCAGGTCCTTGTGCTTGCCAGGCAGACATTTAGACCACTGAACCATCTCTCCAGCCCCAGATAGCTTTGTTTATTGCCTTTATCTTATTCCATTCCTTTCCTTCTCCCAGAGATAAAAACTGTCCCTTCTTACTGATTCTTTAAATAGTGTGAGAATTTTTATACCTTTCTCTCTTTGGGGGGAAATTTATTAGACATTTCATGTTTTCCCCAAACTTGTATTACAATTTGCTTTCTATAATAACTTACTCATGAGGATCACTTTATAATTTACACACTGCTTCATATTATTTGTGTTAGTGGCAATTGCCAGATTTACTCTTTTCTTGATTTTGGTTTTATATTTAATTTTATTAAGTTATTACTTTTAGTACTTTTTGAGGTGGTTTGATATATTACTCATGACAATTACCTGTGGTATCCTAGCATTTCTTCATAGCTTTAGCTAATACTTAAAGCATGTTCTCCATCCAGCCTTTTGAAAGGCTGCTAATGTGAGCCAAGCATGGTGGTGCAATCTTATAATCCCAGAATTTAGGACAGCTGAGGCAGGAGAATTCCAAGTAGAAGTCTAGATTGGGCAATTTAGTGACTTACCAAGACCCTATCTCAAAAAAAATTGAAGGAGGAGAAGGGGGAGTAGGGAGATAGCTCAGTGGCATAAGCGCCTGCCCGGCAAGCACAAAGTCCTGAGTTTGATCCCTGGTACCACAAAAATAAATAAATAAAGTAAAAATTAAAAAAAATAGAAGGCGGGCCCGGGGAGATGGCTCAGTGGAATAAGTGCTTCCT